AAATATAGCTATGAATAAGTTTAATAATCCCTAAGTGATATGAAATACATTTTCAGATGTAATTGCCCGCCATCTAGCTAACATTGAATTTGCTATTAAAGAATTGCAATCAAATCAAAATGAGATCTTAACAAGGTTAAGGAATCCATCTTCAACTCTATCACCTGCTATGTTGCCTGATGGTATTAAAATATTATGTGATGATTAACAATCTTTACAAGATTTAGAAAATTGGATTTCAAATGATAATTATAAACTGTTGGCAAGTATTCATATGTTTTTTTTATTATTTACCATAAAGTTTGACTAAGTATTGACTTCTCCCTACATTGATAATAATACTGTCAAAAACTATTATGACAACTTTTTTTAATACCTGACTTTTTATGAAAAAGAATCGTGTATGAAGTTGTATTGAACAACTTAATAGTTTCCAAGAAATCGGTGAATAAACATGCAAACAGACACACGCGAAATTAAGCACAGGTGTATGGAAGGGATCTGAAGGGATCATCATACTATATGTATGGCAATTCCATACCTGCTTTTTAAGTTGGTTAAAAATTATCGCCTTGTAATATCAGAGCTTAGGTTAAACGACGTGCGATAGTTTTATATCTTGTATTCGTATTTCCGGATAGGGACCACTTTTTACCATTACAATTTTTAACCGACTTCAAAAAAAGAGGTTAGCAATTTGACTTGTACATAATACTGTTGGAATTGGATAATATTTGAGTATGATGATCCATTTAGGCTCTAAGCATGTGTGCTTAATTTCATAAGTGTATGAATGTTTGTCCACGGATTTCTTGGAAACTATGTTGTATTGAGATGATTCTTTTTGATATAAGTTAGGTATTGTTCAACTTGGGGAACAGTCCAAGTTTCTTCAAATTCTGTTGAGTAGTTTTCAATATATGGGTAGTGATTGGTATAGGAGGTCTGTTTAATTTTTTACTAAATTGAGCTTGTTAGTTAAAAGTACCTATAGCAATATGGCAGATAGTAAATCATATGACGTAGAAGAAAAACAAAACCTAGCAGATGCGATAATTTAGTAATCTGTTAACATTTGCAGGTAAATCATTTGAGTTATATTGGCGGCAATAAACCTCCAGCCATACTTAAAGGGTACTTGAAAAAGTGTTCACAAACAACCTTGCTGTCAATTGTAACTGGACAGGGAAAAAATTAAAAGACTTCCCTAAAGGATCTTCGTATAGTAAAGATAATAAAAGGTAATTAAATTAACAACATTTTTACTAATTAATTATTTGTGTTGATAGTAAAATTACAATTCATTATTGCTATACATTAATAATAACATTAGTTGGTACTTGTAGTATGTGATATGCAACTCACCTGTTGGAAATTATCACAGATGCTGTATGTCATCATAAGATTGCAGAGTTCGCAACTGATGATGTAATTCAGAATATAATAAGTGGTTGGTTCAGATTTACTAAAGATCGCGATGGAGGAAGAGAAAAGAGAAGAACTACATTTGCCTTCAAACTGACACAAAATTTTTTAGTCAAGAATATGAGGATCATCACATATCTAAAACTGAATTACAGAACTTGATTTAGGTTTAGTGACGCAAGTCCCATTAGACTTTATGCGTTTAGTTTGTTTAGACGTTATGAAAAAAATTATACAAAGTTGGATATGTAATGGACCAAAAAAATGTAAATTAAATGCTTCTAAAATATCCGTAGTATCAGAATGGTTAAAAATTATACGTACATTATCCCACCGAATTTTCGAGACAGCCTAGGTCTTTAAGTTTATTCAAGTATTGGAAAGCAACGGAATTTAGAGCTTTTCTTTTATATTTGGGTCCCATTGTTTTAAAAAATATATTATCGAGTAGTTTGTATAAACATTTTTTGATGTTTCATTGTGCAATATACATACTGTGTTGTAATAATATTGATCAAAATAATGTATGATGTATATAACTTTGGAGAACTAGATTCCTTTTCAACATTTCCTTTTGAAAAATTCATGTGTAAAATTGAAAGTAGCAAATTGAGAATATATACATGGTCAGTGGTGAAAAAAATGTTATTGTCAATTCAAACGATTTAAGCAAGAAATGTTTATTGTTGCCTAATTTTGATAGTAATGACCATTCATTTATCTGTGTACCTTATGTGAGTATGAATTTGCACTATTAAGCTTGATTTACTCAATGAGAAATGCTAGTTTCAATTTTAAGAGTGTGGGGAGTGAGTCAATTCCATACAATTTGCGGTGCTCTTACACAGCTATAATATGTTTTAAAAACCTACTGATTGTAATTTTTTCAAGTTTTGTTTTTTTTTGTTTCACGCCAATTCATGGTTTTTCAGCCAAATAAAATATGGTTAAATTTACAATTGTATTTTATTTTTACAGCCTCACCAAGATGCCCACCAAGACTACGAGACGTACTGCAGTGTTCCTCATAAAAGGCAAGGACACTGGGCCAAACTGAGGATTTACTCGTTATAGCGCCAACATTGTTTTACAAAGTAAGACCTTCAGACACATTATTGTGGGATTTACAAACTGACTGAATAGTAGGCATGTCATCGGGTTCATGAGTATTTATCAACATTGGTAAAAACATTTGATAAATAAATTTTTTAATTATTTGTTTTTTTATACGATATTTTGGTTGGCCATTTGATACTTTTTAATAGTGCTGATATTCATATGTTTTCATGAATTCGATGATATACTGTGCAGTCAGTTTGTAAGCCCTACAAAGATGGTGTATGTAGGCCTTACTTTGCAAAATATGTTGGCCCTATTATGAGTAAATCTTAGTTGGCCCTGTGTCCTTGGCCCTTTATGAGGAGCACTGCAGTTGGCCTTATATAGTAAAAGTTGAGTTAGGCCTACAATTAAATACCACAGTTGCCCTACCATGAACGGTCAGCCCAACGTTATAGAATGTTTGTTGGCCCTATGTGAGAAAATTGTGGGAAAATTCGCAGTTTGCTTTACGTTGTAAAAGGTGACTAGGACCAACGAAGGAAAAGCTTCAGTTGGCCCTTTCTCCAATTGTAACGGTGGGCCACGGTACTTTAGCTTTGTGGGCAGCAGTGCAATCAGGGGTGCCATTACCCACAGTTGACCAACCGAACAGCAAACAAAGGCCCAACGAATTGCCGTACCAAAAATGCTACTAGGGTAATTATTCTTTAATTTAAGTACAAGCATTCATAAAGTAACATGCACTCTCTTCACATATCATCACACAACTCAGACACAGAATGTATTAAATATGTAGTTATACTTTGTATAAAACGATGTTTTAAGTCTATTGTGTTAATTTTCAAAACGTGAACCATATAAGAAGACGGAAAATACCCGAGTTTAATACATTACGAAAATAGTCACTTAATTTATTAACCCTTTACCGCATATGGGCCCATATATGGTATTGAAGTTTTAATTAATTTTAATTTCCAAACTAAGTATTATAAAACAATTCAAACTATTTTAATTCATTAAATATATATTTAGCAATAATAAAACGCAAAAATATTGTCTATGGTTTGATGACATTTCGAAATAACCTCACTTTTAAGCAAGTGGGCGAAAAAGCAGAATCGAAGTGCGAGTTGTTCATTTTCAAAAAACTATAACAGAGTAATACGTAAGTACTTTTTGATAAAAAAAAATATTTTCATGGAGTCGATATATTCATCTTTCTCGACGAATGATAATTTTTCCGCTTTTCAATTGTTTTTTATACTTTACAGCTAGTTTTTTTTCGATTCCATATTTGGTCTCGTATGCACTAAGACATTTTTTTGCTAGGACAAATATGGAATCGCATGCGCTCAAGCAAATTAGCATTTAAAGTTTTATTTATTTATAACAGCTAAAATTTTATACATATTACACATTTTTATACATTTTATTTATTTATTATGCTTTGCTTGCTTCAAAAATTTGCCTTTTCTCTTGCTTGGCAGAATGGACCCAGCGCGTTTTTACGGAAAAAACCTTCATACTAATTTCATTCCTGGTGATGGCATGCTAAGTGATGATGATGATTTAGATTCCGAAAGCGATGTTCCCTCAATGCCTGTCCCATTCAGATCAAATCTTGGAACACCTACATCTAAAAAGACGAGAAAAATCCCAGAAAAACATCAAGAGCTTCCCCTAAACTCTGTAAGGACGGACAGTATAGGTCATTGGCCTGAATGGCAGAAGAATCGTCAGCATTGTCAAGTATGCTCAATGAAAACTTATACTAAATGCTCCAAGTGTAAAGTTTTTTTATGCTATAATGAAAAAAGAAACTGTTTCTTTCAATTTTTAATATAATTAATATAATTATATTGTTATTATTTTTTCAATATTCTATAAATTCTTTGTTTTGCTGCATACAATACCATATGTGTCTGTAATGGTTTTTGTCTCAATGCATACGAGCCCATATATGGTTCCGTAAAAAAAAATCCAAAATATAAAACTTTTTCAAAATTTCTTTCTCAATATGTCTTATTGATGATTAAATAAAGCTATTTCCACACTGAAATATTTTTTTTTTCAACGCTATAATAAATCATGCAGTAAAGGGTTAAGTACACAACGTTAATACATCATACAGTTATAGTTTGCAACTTTTGCAAGGATCTTTCTTTCTTTTTTTTACTCTGTAAAGTGATTTACACTCTAACATCAATTAACATTCAAAAGCGCATTGTTATTTTGAACACGTAAAATATTTGAGCATGAAACAACATATGCTTATTCGTGTGCTAACTAGTACGCTCGAAAGTGTTATTATTGCGTTATTCTAATATTGCGGCTACATACGTTTTTTGCGTTTGTTTTTTTTTTTATTTAATTGGTGATTATGCTTAACCGTTTTTTTAAATAATATAGGTATGTTTGTTCCTCCATTTCATCATCTCTGCGTTGGAATCCTTAACCTAACAATGGCAGTAGGGAAGTTGTCACTTTGACAGACCAACAATAACTATTAAAAAAAAATTAACACTTGACAGGTGTCACTGTAAACACGATCAGCTGTTTTTACTGACTTACAAATTATTTGATAAAAACCACAAATTTTATGAAACTCAAAGAAGATTTATTCATGAAGCAGTTTAAGTGTGTGAACTGTGGAGAGCCGGCAGCAGCCCTATACAAAACCTATGGCCCTTCAGTTACAAAACTAACTAAATGTGTATGTATTGATCAACTATGTACAAGTTTAATAATGAATTCATGTTATTCATACCTAGTCTATTTACCGGTTGCAATAAATTGTTGTAGTGAAAAATTTGAAAAGCTTTTTTGGTTATCAATCATAATAAACCTATTTTAGATCATGTTAAATGAATAAATTAAAAAAAAACATTATAATTTATTATTTGTTTTGTTTTGATTGATATATTATTCTGATTAGATGGAGTTATATATAGAGTTGAAGAAAATTAACCCCTTGATTGCTTGATTTAATATTTACTGTGAAATGTACCATTTTAATTTTCAGATGAAGTGTAAACTGGTTGTGGACAAATATGTAGAATATGATCCAGTGATAGTAATGATTGATCTAGTCTTGATGTCTAAAGAAGCACAGAGACATATTTTGTATAACACAGAATTTAAAGTAAGAAACCCTTTAGAACCTTAAGAATATTAACATTAAGTCGTTTAATTAATTATTTTTTTATTTTTTTATATTAGTCATATTGGAAATTATTGATAATATTGGTGATGCTGGAGACATATGGAGTGTGGCACAGCGGTAGTTTATTCAACATAGTAATTAACACAATGTGCGGCATCAATGGCAACGCTACAATAAATACTACACATTTGTAAGTAGTTCTCTTATTGCCTTTTCTCTTGCTATTTATTTATGATAAATATAATTCTTATTGCAATTTTAAAAATTGTATGAGTGTAAATAACTAATCAATCTATTTGAAAGTATAATAAACAGTAAGTATAGAAATAAAATTACTATTTGAACATCCAATCCTAGGCTTATCACAACTTATTAACAGATTTCATTTACATAAAGGTAATTTCAATAAAATCAAGATAGACTCAAGTGTTAACATTTTATAGATCAGTTTAGATTAATTATTATAAAGTTTAGGTTTATTAGTAATTTGATAAGTATTTTATTTGTGTTTCCAATTTTATCTCGTTATGTTTTCAATTCTCTAGCTAAAAATTTATGTATGAAAATAAAATAATAAGCACAACAAAATTAAGATATTCTATTGAAATAAAGAAGTTTACCAGTTTAGTTATACTAGTGATTATATGACATAACTTTATAGATAGTTAAATTTTTTATGTGTACTTACTGTAATGATGATAAATGTTCAAAAATAATTATTAAATATTTTTGAAGGAGCTAAGGAGTTAATGAATTATACCAATTGCAGTGGTATTCCTGATTTGAAATTGCCAGTCTCCTGGGGGAATAAATGTTGGGCGTGGGTACAAGAAGACAGAGGAGATGAAAGTGATCTGTTCATCTGGGAAAAAGATTTTTATATACAATTTCTATCCACTTTCTCTGGTTAGTAGAAAAAAATGTTTTAAAATTAATGATGTCACTCTTTATCAATGATAATATATTTGAAATAATTTTCATTTGCAGGGATAGTGATGTTTTTATTAACAAGCAGCTTTATAATGCTGATAATGAAGTATTTCATACCAACAATTGAAGGTAAATATTTTTGACTTATCTTTGAAATAGTTTTAGTCTCATAATTTTTAAATTTTACTTAAAAATGATCGATAGATTGTCATGGTGCGAGGGTACTGCCATCTACTTGGAGGCCGTCCATTAATCGCGTGAGGCTCGAAAGGGGGGTAGGGATTCGTCAAAAATCACGAAATATCACAAGGTGGTGGTGGGGGGGGGGGTGTAGTAATATATCACGTGTTTTTATTTTTTACTGAATGCGCGATTATTAAACGGTTTTTTTTTAAATACACGTTATTTGGTTGAAGGAGGGAGGGGGTAGTCTGAAACCTCACCATGTATCACCAAGGAGGAGGATGATTATTGGACGGCCCCTTAGTGTCCAGTTGCAACTACACGTCAGCAACGTATGAGGACATTTCCCGGGCAATACATAGTTCCACGACCCACTACACTGTTGTCATGGGAGACTTCAACGCAAGGCTAGGCAAGCGTGGCGATGAGGAGTTGAAAGTGGGGCAATTTGGATCTGGGATCCGGAATCACCGTGGTCAAATGCTAGCCGACTACATGGAGAGGGAAGGACTCTATATGATGAACTCCTTCTTCAAAAAACGGTTGCATCAAAGGTGGACCTGGAAGAGTCCGGATGGTGTGACAAAAAGCGAGATCGACTTCATCATGTCGACTAAGACTCGGATATTCAATGACGTCTCAGTGATCAATTCGTTTAATACGGGAAGCGATCACCGTATGGTAAGAGGCGCATTGAATCTAAATGTAAAAGCTGAACGGTATCGACTGGTGAAGTCTACACTCCATCCTGAAGCTACCCAGATCCGGGACCCCGAACACTTTCAGCTCGAACTTCAAAACCGCTTCGATTGCCTGGAGAGCTGCTCGGATGTGGACGAATACAATGACAGGGTCGTAGAAGCTGTCCTTATGGTGGGTTTAAAATTTCTCAGACCTCGCCGTACTCAAAAAAGAAGCAAGATCTCGGAGCAGACAAGCAAGCTAATGGAAGAAGAGCGTGATATGGTTCTGCAGTCTTCTGAGAATGCTCGTCGGCAACTCAATAGACAGATCTCGAAATCTCTCACACGCGACATACGCCAATTTAATACTCAATGTATTAAGGAGGCGATTGAGCGGAATAAAGGCTCCAAAGTGTTCGCTAGAGATCTGTCTCTCGGACAAAGCTTGCTGACGAAGCTAAAGACAGAGTACGGCAGAGTCGTTACATCCCGTCCTGAGCTTGTGGCGGAGATCGAACGCTTCTATGGACAGTTATACACAACATCACAGAAACCTGTCATTGAGGCTACAGACCCTAGAACCAAATTAACCCGACATTATACCGAAGACATCCCGGACGTCAGTCTATACGAGATTAGTGTGGCTCTCAAACAGCTCAAGAACAATAAGGCGCCAGGGCATGATGGAATCACAGCGGAACTTCTGAAAGCGGGTGGACTACCAGTCCGGAAAGCGCTTCAGAAGCTATTTAATTCCGCCATACTCGAGGGCAAGACGCCGGAAGCATGGCACAGGGGTGTGGTGGTGCTTTTCTTCAAAAAGGGCGACAGGACCCAATTGAAGAATTACAGACCCATCACGCTTCTGAGTCATGTGTACAAGATGTTTTCGAGAGTCATCACGAATCGTCTCGCACGTAGATTTGACGACTTCCAGCCTCCTGAACAAGCCGGTTACCGAAAAGGTTACAGTACCATAGACCACATTCATACGCTGCGACAGGTTATACAGAAGACCGAGGAGTATAATCTGCCACTGTGCTTGGCGTTTGTGGACTACGAGAAAGCCTTCGACTCCGTCGAGACCTGGGCCGTGCTTAGGTCACTCCAGAGGTGCCAAATAGACTATCGATACATCCAAGTGCTGCAGTCACTGTATGAAAACGCCACCATGACAGTTCGGCTCCAGGACCAAAACTCGAAAGCAATACGACTTCAGCGTGGAGTGAGACAGGGCGACGTTATATCGCCGAAACTGTTCACTGCCGCACTGGAGGACGTGTTTAAGCTTTTGGACTGGAGAGGACTTGGCATCAATATAAACGGCGAGTACATGACGCACCTTCGTTTCGCTGATGATATCGTAGTCATGGCTGAGACCATGGAAGATCTAGGCACAATGCTCGAAGACCTCTTGTAACACTGGAAAATTTGATGTTGTTTTATTTTAACTTTCACAACATTCTATTAGTATTTTCTAGTAATATATTGTGATTTCTAAACATTGTTTTAAGGATGTCAACTTACCATTTTTTTTCTGATAAAGCCATTAGGGCATAAAAATTGTTTTCACTTATTTAATTTCATTATTCCTTAACCGGTGACAACCTTCCACTCTTATTTACCAGTCTATCAACCACCAAGATACAAAATAGAACCATTAGTTTGTCTCAAAATTATAACTTTAACTATTTTCTCATTTGCTTCCATTAGAGATAACCTTATTAATTTTACAAAATAAAATTGAACCTATTGTTTACAAAACACCAAAGCATTTATTTTGACACTTGGTGTACGTTCCGAAAGCCGTAATTAACCTTAGAACTTACCTTTACATATTTATATTTTCTTCCAAATTAAATTTCTTTTCCCTATTTTTAATAACAATTATTAAATTAAAAAAGGAAGACCTGATTGTTTCGCTGTTGAGGTGGATGAAATTTTATTAAATTTATTTAAACAAAAGACAAGCTGAACATTGAGCTGTGCCCAACTATTATTGTGTTTAGTAGCATTAAGTGTTATAAATGTTATTTTATGTCTACGAATTATAACGCTGGACAGTGAGACCGTAGGTCAACAAACAGCCCCGGTTTGTTGTGTTGCCGTACTCCTTCTGAGTACGGTAGCGAAGCCAAGGTCGATATACCCTTTTTTTATTTTACTTTAAGGGGGCAATTGGTAATTTGTAATTTATATGAACCAGCGAAGCCAAGGTCAAAATATACCCTTTTATTTTTTTTTACTTTAAGGGGGTAATTGGTAATTTGTAATTGGTAATTTGTATAAAAATTGTAATTGAATTTTAAAATTGTTATTTCAAAAAACTTCATTTATAAATAAATTGTACACAGTTTATATTTTTTAATTTTTTTTCTTCTCAAACCAAAATAAAGGAGAAATCCGTTACACTCTGTAGAGTTTCCCAGCAAGTGGGTCTTAAAATGAACATAAAGAAGACAAAAATAATGTCAAACTCCCATGTCGTACCCACTCCAGTGAATGTTGGAGGCTCTACACTGGAAGCTGTCGACGAGTACGTTTACCTGGGACAAATAGTCCGATTAGGTAAGTCCAACTTCCAGAGAGAGGTAAATCGACGGATCCAACTCGGCTGGGCAGCGTTCGGGAAGCTACGCAGTGTATTCTCGGAACATCTACCGCAGTGTCTCAAGACGAAAGTCTTTAATTCGTGCGTGTTGCCAGTGATGACATACGGTACTGAGACGTGGCCGCTTACGATGGGCCTCATAAAGAAGCTCAAAGTCGCCCAGAGGGCAATGGAAAGGGCTATGCTCGGGGTTTCTTTGCGAGATCGAATCAGAAACGATGAGATCCGCAGAAGAACGAAAGTCACCGACATAGCCCAAAGAATTGCGAACCTCAAGTGGCAGTGGGCAGGGCACATCGCTCGCAGGACTGACGGTCGTTGGGGCGGTAAGGTCCTGGAGTAGTACCTGGAGTCGACCGCGTACCGGGAGACGCAGTGTCGGTAGGCCCCCCACAAGGTGGACCGACGATCTGGTAAAGGTCGCGGGAAGCCGCTGGATGCGGGAGGCGCAGGACCGATCGCTTTGGAAATCTTTGGGGGAGGCCTATGCCCAGCAGTGGGCGTCTCTCGGCTGAAGTGATGAATTCTTTTCTACAGTCTGATTGAAGATATTACGAGAAAAAAATGAAGTAGGAGACAAGTGTACGACGGCGGTGTCTTCTAATATTTCGTGTTCTGCAGTGCCTCTGACGCGCGCGCTAAAGGGTTTCTCCCTCGGCGAAGCGGCCGTGCTGCTGGCGCTGCCCGTGGCCGTGTGGGGGCACCACCGCGCGCGCGCCCTCCACTACGCGCTGCACGCCGCCTACACACACGCCGCGCACGCGCACGCCGCCACAGGTATACTGTACACTGTACCGCCACAGGTACACTGTACCGACACAGGTACACTATACCGCCACAGGTATACTGTACCGCCACGGGTATACTGTACCGCCACGGGTATACTGTACACAACACGTGTTGAAATTAGCCGGAAGTGTTTTGAGTTACTTATTAAAAAATAAATAAATAGTATCGGATATTTAATGATTTAAATATTTTTTATCACAAAATTTCTGATACTAACGTGTTGCTTCTTGGTAAAATGAGAATGATAACGACAAGTTTTCCTTAATAGAATTAAACAATAGAATCAGCGAAACTTGTAACACATTTTTTTTTTCAATATTCATACATTTATTGAAATTCTTCAGTTAGAAATTAATTTAATTTAATTTTCGATTTAATTTGGATACGATTTATCAAGCTTTATCAGCTCAAAAAAAAATTCTATAAAATGTGATTCTTTATGATGTCATGAATAAATTTAGAAATGGGTATGGGGAAAATTTTGAAAAATTACCTAAAGTAAACCAGAGGACACTACTTAGCAAAAACATACAACTTTTCCAACAGTATATATTTCTCTCTTAACGTAATATCCTTCCATTATGTTTAGAGTGGAATTCACACTCAATTACTACCACTCTAGAAGTGTATAAAAAAAAGATCTAGGCTTATTTAAGGAGTAATCAATCACTCCAACCTAAGGCTTATTTATTTAATGAGTAGTCAACCGCTCAGGCCTAAGGCTTATTAAACAAGTAGTCAGCCACTCTAAAAGTATTGACTACTATATAGCACTTAGAAGACTATTTAGGTAGTCGCGAGTAAAAGTAAAAATAGGTAAAGACAAAGGCTTTAACTTTGGTTAATAAAAAGAGCAGTTAGAACGCCCTAAAGTAAAAAAACTAATAATAATTAAGAAAAAGTATTTTTCATAGGATATTAACATATAAAAAAAATTGGAGGACCAAGTAGGGAAATATCATTTCATAACAAAAGAGTGAAAGAATTAACGATAAAATTATATTTCATCTTAAATAAAAAAAAAATAATAATGAGATACTAATAATAATTAGATAAATGAAAATAAAAAAAGTTACAGACGTAATTATTTACTTGAATTCAATTAAATTTATAAAAAAATACCTGTATTAAAAGTTGTCGAAATCGAATCAATATGTGATTTTAAACAAACTACTATCGTTAATTATGTGGATGTGTGTTAATTATGTTACATGTTGTATAGATATTTATCAGCAATACAAAAAATAACGTATAAATATTACTTCTAATACATAAACCAAAATAGGATCGGTTTCCTATCAATTGAAAGATATTTTTTTATTTCAAAGTGAATCGACATGCATACTGAAAGAAATTTTAATTTTCAATTGATATATGTAAAATGCCTATTCCTGAAGTAGGTATATATTGGCGCGAAACGTCAAACGACAAAGTCAGTGATA